TTATTTATGTGTGTGACGTCGTTGCCGTAAAGCATGTCGTAATTCTCGCGAGATTTGTCGGGGGCTCCTCTCAAACTTGCATTGCTCGTTTTTCCAGTGGAGCAAGATATCAATATCAAGAAAGATAACAGTTAGATAACAAATGGTAATTAATAACAGTGTCTTACAACTGACTTGTAGGCAATGAAACCACACTGAAGTTGATCAACAATCAACTTCAGTTTATGAAAGACAATAATATTCCATATACACATGAAAGACAAAAGGAAAAAAAGTTAATAGAGCTTTTAGGTGCTGTAAGAGATTATTTATTGTGAAAAATGTATGCAGAAAATACCCTTACTCCCTGAAAGGTATACCAAAATTAACAGTCATAAACAGTAAACAAAACTGGCCACAAGCCATTGTGACAAGTTACAATGATGACAAGTTACAAGTGACGACAACTCTCTGAAAGAGAGTGATATTGTGTACAGATATGACGAGACAACAACACACAGGGGAATGACGTGTATGTGATTTCCAACTAAATTTGTCCCCACCACAACTCTAAATTATAAATCATTATATGCTATGTTTATCCAAGTGTATTTGTGTAGACATGGTTTAAAATATCTTTTGAATATTGTTTTTGCAAATCGTTTTTCATTTTTCTGAAAAAAAAAAAGGGTACGGTCCATTTGTGAACACTTTGGGTACAAATGCTGTGGTACTGGTCATATTTACACCTTAAGTAACTAATAAGGTATCCTACAAACTTCTTTCATGTTCGCACCATTTAATCTCCAAACAAAGGTACACTTGCTGTCCTGAAAGTTTTACATGGTGGATCAAGACCCTTTGTGAGACCCTTACTGTAGGCCTGATATATTCTTATTCGCACAGAAGAACAGTTGCTTGTTACAAGTGTGCAAATGAGACTGTAGGAAAGAAAATGGCAACATAATGTACATTATATATCAGTCACACGGATTCAAAACTAAAACAGATTTCACATGATGGATTGATGCCTCTTAAACCAACCTTAACAGTACAAAAATACCATACACAGAGATTGAGCATTCACTCATGTGTATGTTTCACCTAAATTTTCTTGTGTTTCTATACTTTATTTACAAGTTTTTTCAGTCAACATCAGCTGATCTAAATAAACCCTTTCCTTTCCACCCCAGTCCTCTATTCGAAGGTGTTTGCACAGGGGATGTTGTCTCTGTGGACGTAGATGTGTTTTTATCCGGCGAAGATTGGCGGACAAGAAGCTCCTTAAACACCGAGTGCATCATGTGATGCACTTCCTGCAAGATAGATAAAAGCACACTTTAGTAGAGGGAGGGAGGAGATCTCATTGGTATTATAACTGGGATTTAAACATCCCGACCTTATCCACTTCTATTGAGAGTTCCTCTCTGCTTCCCCCCTCGGTAGTGGATCGTCTCGTTTGAGGGCTGTAAAAGTTATAAATTGACTGATTTAGTCATTATTCCATAGATGATAATAATCTGTGACATTAACATTTCCATAATGCCAAATAAACAGTCTAGGCTATTTACACACTCAAATGTTTTCCGCAGAGCCCCTGGAGAATTTCCTGTCGGTATATATTGTCCTATGGGTATTTGTAACGAAACCTTTCCAGAAGTGACATGGCTGGGTCCAACCCCGGCTTTGTTACTTGTGACCTTGTTGAGCCTAGAAAATGAATACAGATAGAATTATTCTCTAATTACTAAATCATTCGTCATCATTGTGTAGTAAGAATGAGGTTTACATAAGGTTAGGTTCAAGTAGGTAGTAGATAATGTGCTTGTTTCATTAGCTGTATTTGTATAAACTCTGTACAAGAGTTCACATTTTAAACAGAATGTAATAACAAAGCTATCCTCCACATACTATACACTCTGTGAGTGTTTTACCGTGTATTTTGCTCTGCTTTCAGCTCTTCCTCTGTCTGCTGTCTACCACAGCTGGATTTCAGAGTTTCCTTCCCTTTCTGATCTTGGCCTCCATCCGCACTGAGCAACATAGAGGGAGAGAATTGGGGAGTGTTATGACTCTCTAGACTGTGTTTTGTTACTGATTGTGGCTTTGACTCAATGGTGATTCCTGAGTCACAACTTAAAGCCAATTCTTCTAAATGCCTTCGATTCATATAACACCCAATAAAGTTATGCAACTCCAACAGGCAGTTAACTATTCACTAAGCTCCACCCCCTTGATTACCATTGCTCACTCCGACAAGCTTTGCAGAATGTCCCAATTAATTTCAGTAAAATGAGCTCAAAGTAATTGGATATTATGAGAACTTGAATGAAGTATAGACTAGGGTTTCAAAGGGTTTTTTTATTAAAAAGTTATTAAAGAGAGCGAATTTATCTCTTATATCGGTTTTTATATATGTCAGGATAGATATTGGGGAAAATTACCCAATAAAGTAATGCATCCCCAACAGGCGGTGACATAAATGGATGTATAAATCCACTGACCATGGGAAATCAAGTGAAATCAGTAAGTAGTTTCTTCAGTTGACCATTTGCAAAGCTCCGCCCCCTTGGTTACTGTTCTTCATGTCCCACGGGATTGAATTTCAGTAAAATTGGGTATTAAACTTGTGAGGGCTAGAATAAAATCTGGTATTGCAAAGCATCTTTATCCACATTTTTCTTTAAATTGTTAAAATTGGCCATGCATCTAGAGATAAAAACCTACCTTTGCATGCTTATATATTTATTTGGGATGAGCCCCTTTGTCCCATTCACCTCCCCTCTCCACCAATCAGAGGAGGCTTTGCTGTAGAGGATGAAACGGTCCCCGCATTTGAAGGACAGCTCGGCTGAAGAACGGCCTGTGTAGTTAAACAAGGCCACTCCTTGCAGCTCTGCACATCAGAAACAGACAGAAAGGAATTCATTTACTTCTACTCGCCCAGATGTTGATAGTAAACTATGTCAACCTTACCGTCTTTTCCTTCTTTTGTTTGAGATTGCTCTGATTCTCCATCTCCTTCCTCTGTTACAGTCTCACTGTAAGCATAGGAAATATTAAGTCAAGTCAATTTTATTTGTAAAGTGCTTTTCACAATACACATTGTTTCAAAGCATATTTATAGAAAATCATGATGTTGCCCTTGCCCAAGCTCTTGTTCTATTCAAACTTGACTATTGTAATGCTCTCTTGGCAGGCCTTCCAGCATGTACTGTCAAACCTCTGCAACTGATCCAGAATGCAGCAGCGAGAGTGGTGTTGAACGAGCCGAACAGACTTCACACACACACATCACACCTCTCTTTATTAATTTGCACTGGTAGCCAATAGCCCCTCACATCAAATTTAAGCTCTGATATTTACCCACAGAACCCCATACGCTGATTTCACGCAGCCGCTATTTTGAAAAGGCTCTGTGAATGTGTGAAATGTGAAATGCAGTGAAATGTTTTTTTTTATTTATAAAAAAAAAACTTGCTACATGTACTGTGCTAAACAAACCACTTACATATTGTTGCTTCAAACAGATTCTAGCAATTAACAACCCCCTTTTTCCCCCAATATTATAATGTAGCATAATGAGATATTTACTAGCAATTTTAATAAGGCGGGTTATTTTTAACCAAAACACCAAATTAGGTTCACCAAATTCATCACAGAGCAAGGGATAGTTTAAGCTGAGTCCATGCAGTGTTGTGATTAACATAGTCTCGAGATGACAACACGTGACGTTCTATTCTCAATGGCAACACTATCAACGCCTAAATGAATTTCTAGCGGTCAGGAGGTAAAGCAGTAACGTGGTACCTGTAGGAACTCTCAAAAGAGTCCCATCTTGCAGTAATTATGAGCTCTAAGAGGCGAGAACGCTTTTTACACGTTGAAATCACATAATTACATAATGGCGTGAATGCAGGCTTGCATTTGAGTTAAATGTAGTATATGGGTAAAATGGATATAATTGGGTAAACTGTACTTAGGCTTATGTAAATAAAGTTGGATATACTTATATTTTAAATATCAAGCATGCTTAAAAGATTTGTGTGTGTGTGTGTGTGTGAGTGTTTATGTGCACTAAAGGGATGGAGCTTAATTCTCACCAGTCTTCTTCTTCCAATGCCATGCACTTTTCATACACTGGCCCGGGTAATTCATTCTGGCTAGGGAAAATGCTCTCATGTTGAGTAATGATACACTTGACCAGGGCATTGATGCGCTGAAGCTCTGACGCATCACCATTATTTGGCCCCCTCACTAGACTGGGTCCAAAGCACACTGCCAGGTTATAGGGCTGCATCATGTTCTCGTCACTGTACTGGGAGACGCTATACACACAAACACATAGAATTAGATGCGTTGATTTCTTGACAGAAAAAAGGACAACACCGAGTGACACCCTGTGATACTCACTGGTGAAGAAATGCAAAAATGTATCTCATGACAATGATGAGCGTGTTAGGATATGAGGAGATGACGCACTTCAGCTGTGTTACTTTTTTTGTTTCGTCATCTATTTCTGAAAGAGAGGGAAAGTTAAAGACACCATGAAGTGTATTCACAACCCCTTGAAGTTGACAAAATAAACTTCTGGCAGAAATCCATTTAAAATGGACAGTTTTCGTTTTGTATAAATTTATAAATTAATTTATTTTTAATTTTATTTAACTTTTTTGAAGATGTATAAAAATATATTTTAAAATTATATATATATATATATATATATACATACACACATACACTGTGCATGTATAATCCGAAATACTATATACAAAATACTTAACCTAATATAGCTAAATAGTTCAAATTAAATACAAATAATAAAAATCTGCAATTTACTAATCGTAGTGTATGCCATAAAGCTTTTTTCTGGAAGTTTAATTAGACACTGAATAGAACATCCATTAAAAGTTCTTAAAAAAGTCAACTGAAGGCTACTGGATAACTGAGTGCTTAAAATCATCCCTAGCATAAAAGGATCAAGTTTCAACAGGAAAGCTTATAACTAGAAAGAAAAGCACATTCAACATTTCATTAAATGTTTAAACAGTTACAAACCTAAATGTCTGAACTCACATATCATTATACAAAGCAAACAAGCACATAATAGTGTGGTAAAGTCCTCTTACCCCCGCATTCCATTAGTTGGTCATAAGTGTCCTCCGGAAAGAGGGGTTTCTCTAATCCTCTAAAATAAAGTTTCAGCACTCCAGCCACAGAGTCCATGTCACATTCCCCATCAGCAAGGGGGTCATCGCCTATGAGTAATTACGAAATTCACAGCCTATTACTAATGCTCAGTGATAGGAAGGAGAATGTCATCACTATGTGCACACACCTTTCTCAAACGCATCCTTCAATTGATTCACCACCATCTGAGATCCCGGCACTCTGAACAATCCCTCATGATGTAAGCCTTACCAGAGTGAATGGGTTAGAAAACCAGTGATTAAGATGGAAAGAATTGTATCTACTGACTTAGATTTACCATTGAGGTTGATGAACCGAATGCACTTTTCCACCACTGCAGGAATGATCTGTCCTGATGCCTAATAGGGAGGAAACACTAAGTGAGTCAGATGCCTTGAACTGTTTTGAGTAAATCCAGAGCACTTCTGAGAGATTTACTTGGATGTATGATATTAAATCCCCTGTGAAGAGCTTCTGGTTGATCTGGGCACCGGGGTTACTCTTTTTACGACGCACGGATCTTTTGGAGCATGTTCTAATTAAACAGAAATGTTTAATTTAGTAAACAATAAAACTAAAAAAAGAGGCCTTTTTACTTTCACTAGAATTTGCCAATTCTGCCATATATCTTTATAACATATATAAAAATGTATTTATAAATTATGAAAAAAAAATATACAAAAAATATGCATTTATAAATATGTATTTATAAATTATGTGACATATAATATATATACAGTATATATTTCCAGCCATTACCTCTTGTAGGATGTCAAGAAAGCATTTGTTTTCTTACCTGGAAGGGGCTACATTAAAACTTTCAGCTGATAACAAAACAGAACAAAAATCAATGGTCTTCGCTTTACAACAATTTCTGTATATATAGGAAACATTATTCTACCTTTTTGAATGGCAACCTTTAGCAGGTCATGTTTGGCCTCCAGTTTTGATATTAAAGAGCTGTTGCATAGATGGTCTCTGACTTTCTGCAATATCATAAAGTCATAGTAAATAAAGATATTACTATAAAGTCTTAGTAATAGAAAAAGTCAGACAAAAAATAAAGACATTTCTATTTGTAATAAAGATAAATAGAGTATAATAATAATTATGCTAGTAATAATTGTGTGAAATAATTCATATTTAAATTTCTAAATGTGATAGAAATATATTAAATTATATTAAATATAGTGAATATTTACCATAATAATATTGTTAATTATAATATTTAATATGTGTTTAATATTATATATATATATATATATATATATATATATATATAAGCATTCAAAGAAAAATATATATTTGTAATGCTGTATATATATATATATATAGTTATGTTAAATAATGAATTTTTATTTTAATATATTTAAAATTATGTGAAAGCAAAGCTGAATTAAAGGAACAACTCCAGTCTACAGTGTTACATGATCCATCCGAACAAGAATGTTGAAAACAGTTGTGCTGCTTAATACTTTTTTGTTGAAACCGTGATAATTTTTTTTTCTAGATACTTTGATGAACAGAAAGTTCTAAATAACAAAAAAATAATAATAAAAAAATGTTTAAATCATAATTTGTTTTGCTTACCAAGAAATACAAACTCTCAGTATCTGGAAGGCTGGCTCTGCGCTTCAGCTGATTGTTCTTACTGGCTGATATATCACTGTTGCTCTCTGCTGATGAGAGGCTGCTGGGAAAGTCTGGGGTGGATCCAAAGGTGTCCTCAACAATACCATCCAGCATGGAATTTTGGGCAGACTGAAGTAATTTGCCGGACTGCAATATTTGTATGTATATTTATGTTTAGATGAACCAGACTTGTAAAGAGTACTCATAAATACAGTATTTTGATTCAAATATCACCACATCTATCCTGTTATTTGACAGTAGTGCTACATACATAATAATAATATGTGTGATTCAGTGGGGTTTGTGTACCTCCTCAACATCCATGGTGACAGAAGACAGCCTAGACTGCAACTGCTGGAAGCGAGTCACCAGCTCGCTCATCATCTCGCACTTTGCAGACACCTCAACCACCTGGAAGAGGACACATATAAGCAACTGCACATTTTTACAATTATGCACATAGACATTTTATCACGCAGTACCTGGTCGCCTTCATAGGGTTGGTACTGAAAGCGCAGGGGCAGGCAAAAGGCTGAGATGTTGGCCTGCATGAGAGCGTCTCTGTCCTGGTTCTGGTTCAGCTCTGAGACTGTTGTGTCCAACTGCTGCAGCCCAGAGCTCAAGTTCTGCTGGCCCCATTGGCGACTGCTCAGGTAAAAACGGAACACCTTGGATATGGACTGGTGGTAACCCAGATCACAGCACTGAGAGGGCATGCAATGAGAGGTTGAATTATACTGCTCAGTACAAAAACCTGATCATATAGAGGTAATACAAAGAAACTCACATCTATGAGAGTGGAAAGATCCTGAAGGTAGTATTTGTTCATGCATGCATTTGCTGCAGCCAAGTTGAGCAGGTAGTCATTGCGTGCTTTTGTGCTCTTAAGCTGAATTTCTTGAACTTTACTTTGCCTCTATGCACACATAGAAGTGAACTGTAACCTCAGAAGTTACTGGAACAATCATTTATCCACACACATTCAGTGTTGCACAACTTAACCACAACAACCAAACACTCTGCTTTGCAGTCTGCCACAATCACATGCAGAGAGCACTTTTGCCCCACATCACTGCACAGAGGAGGATGCTGCCCATGTGCACGCAGGCAAAGCACTGTAATATCTGACTGTTTCCTTGATTTTGTACTACATTCAATACAAGTTAAGCTCAAGTCAACAGCATACATGGCGTTACGCTGATTAACACAAAAAATAATTCAACTTTTATGTTAAATGCGTTTGGGGGGGTTTGGAGTATTTATTGTAAATGATTTATCCATTATTTGTTTTTTTTCATGCATGTGCCCAAGTAATCTTTAATCAAAATAACTTACCCTCCCTCTTGCAACGAAATCTTTTCTCTGATGATGAGTTTATTGGCGTGAGGGCGGGACAACCTGTTACTCACATGACATCACAGCAATAGCAAACCACAACAATCAATTCCTGATGGACAAAATCATGTCTCGCCTAACATTTTTTCTTGTTTGAGAAGCCATTTCACTCTGATATACACATAAAATTCTTGCGTTTCATGGGGACAAAAACACTTACTTACAATGGAAGTACTTGTATGGGGACAATTTTTGGAGGTCTTAAAAGTTGAAATGTGAAGCTTATCATTTTATAAAAACATTGACATTAATTCTTCTGTTAAAACTTGTGCATTATTTGATCTGTAAAGCTATTTTCACATCTACGATTGGTTTAGGGTTTTAGGCATTATGTTGTAATGGCAACAAAGTTGTTGGGTTGTTGATTTACAGTAATTAACTTTTTTGCTCACTCCCCTCTTTTAAACCTGTTAGATTACGTTGATTCAGTTGTAATTTAGTTTAACTAATAGAAGGGGTAAAAAAAATAATTTGTGGCCACAATATCTTGGGGGTACCCCCTCCCCCCTGTATGTGCCAGGCTCTGTATGCAAGAGATTTTGTCTCAATAAAATTATATTAATGCGCATTTTGTTTACAATGTTGGCGGTATACAAACTGGCCCCATTCACTTCCTTGATAAGTGATTCACTGTAACCCAGATTAGTCCATTATTTTTTTAAGAAGGAAAGACAAGTGAAAATTCTTCTTTTTTGATAATCAACATAATGCCACAAGTGCAGTCAATTGAGCTTAGCTTGTATAGAAACTTAAATATCTTTAATTATAACCATCTCATTCACAACCAGTTCATATTTTGGTATTAAAAAGGAAGATATACTTTCTCTATTAGTCGTTCCATCTTTTTAGAAGCAGTTTGTTTTTGCTTTTCCTCCAGTCTGACTGCTTCCTTTAGTTTGCCTTCTGCGGACAGGAACTCAGAATAGTATTGGTAATATGTCTTCAAGGTCTGATTTTCACAAACATAGGAATGAGATTTGCAATCCATTAACTCTAAATGCATGTTTACAATTGATTCTAAAACAAAAACGTGGCTTGATGAGAGGAATGAGGGGTTAAACTGACCGTATGAAGTTCTGTGGTGACCTTCATGAGTCCATCCTGTAACTGGGTATAAATGTCCCTGCTCTGAAATTATAAATAATGAAAAAAGAGGCAGGTAAATGATTGTCTTAGTAACGTTGTATTACAACGTTGTCAGGAGATTGGCCGGTGACTATTGACTATGAAACATATAGGTGTTATGTTTCTATGCACTGTCAACAAGTGTCTGTGCAAAGGAAGCCACGTGTACTGTTAGCCCGGGGCATGCATGTGGTACATGCATCTAGTAATGTGTTGGTGTTCATGTCTGCAAAGTTGGAAGGATGTGAAAATGTGTGTGTGTCGGGTGAGATGGTGGGTGTGTACCCGTTTGGCCAGGCGTTGGGCATGTTCAACGCAGTGTGAAAGCTGCTGAGGCAGAATGTTGATGTAACTGTCACTCAAGAAACTGTGATCTCTGCTTTCCTGACGTGTTTGTGTCAACAACACCTGCCAGCAGTTAACAACTGACTGATGGCTGGGCTCCTTCCTGAGGGCGATAGGAACAAAGAGCCGTACTAAGTTCCTGATACACAGCAATCGATGTATGTATATCAGTTAGAACCGTTTACCATTTCAAAATTAGATTTTCACATCGTAACTCTCTCTCAAATAAATGCTGTTCGTTTGAACTTACTGTTCATCAAAGAAACATGAAACATGTAAGATGGTTTCCACAAAAATATTAAGCAGCACAACTGATTTAGACATTGATAAGAAATCTTGTTTGAGCGACAAATCAGGATATTAGAATGATCTCTGAAGGATCGTGACACTGAAGACTGGAGTAATGGTTACTGAAAGTTAAGTTTGCCATCACATCAATAACTTACATTTTAAAACAGAGTAAAAGAGATACTTTCAAATACAATATTACTGTTTTTACTGTATCAATGATCAAATAAATGCAGCTTAAAAGGCTTTGAAAAACATTTTCACCCACCCTAAACTTTTGATCGTGTGCATGAAAGTTTTGCTTAAAAAAGTGTTTTGGTTATCTTTCTTACAAATAAATTGCCCTTACAAGGTTTTTAAGGGTGGCATAAGTTGCCATTTTTGTACAAAATTCAATCATAGGTTGATAGCAATTTTATGTATTAATGGTGATTGGTTCTTTGTATATCCTCACTTCCTGGTTCTAGAGGAGAACCTGTCACACAGCTTGTCCAGCGAGCGGGCGTACTCTCCCTCGATCTCGCCTCGTCTGCGCAAATAATCGACCAGATCTTGAAACACCTGAGTCTTCTGCTCCACCTGACCGTCAAATATCCTCAACTGCTCCGCCAGCTGCAAACGCACCTCTAGAGAAGAGAAAGAGAGAACAATTGTATTTTGATAGTTCCTCTTTGTCAATCTGTTTCATTTTACATTGTGTCAAATAACAATAATCTAGAACAAGTTGGTTTCACAAAGGCAATAAGGATCGGTTATCTTTGTTAAATCGGTCTTGTGATGGTGGAAGTACAGGCAAAAACTTGATTTCATCCATCTCATTGGAATTGAACATCCATTACCTTTAATCTGTGTGTCATAGTCCGCTGTCACCACTCTGTCCCTCCTCAGTTTGACGTGGGATGACATTGTAGCTCCAACTAGATGAGATTCTACTTTGAACATGTCAGAAGTAAGTTTGAAGATATATACTTGAAAAATATTTTCAGGATAGTTTGTAAAACATTTTCTTAATGCAAATAGAACGTGTTTGGTCTTGGCAGTCTAGATCTGCTACACTGCTGCCTAGGAAGTACGACTTGCTTCTGCTAAATGCTCGGACCGTTAAATTAATGGAAACAATAGAGATACGGAGACCCCTGTAGCAGATCTAGAAGTGGTGCTGAGGAGAGATCTCGGTTATAAAGGGAAATGATAATGGATGTGAAATCAATTAATTGAGAATGTTACATTGAATAAACCAATCAGAACATGAACAAAGTTTGATGGCTGAACTATCTACACAACCCAAATAAATTACAAATATGTACACTGAATTTTAATGTGAACATTTTTCATATTTTCCTTTAATCCATTATACAAGATCAATCACAAGATAGCTAAATTCCATATTCAAATATCATAGTAAACTGTCTTGGATAACACCTCTCTTCAAAATCTTGCACTCTCTGGTTGCACATAAAAATTGCACAAATTGCCACTCGCATCTAATTTAGGCACTGATATTTTCCCACAGAACAATCCCTGGCTCTGCACCCCTATATCTAAACTGATTACTTAAGACTTATGTGCCCTTCAGAACCTTGCAAGAAAAAGAGGAAACATCCCAAAGCGGCACACACATGACTTTTACAGCCCTTTACCTTGACTGTTCCATGCTGGTGGAGCCTAACTCAACCCGAGCTGATGAGTCTTTAGCCATTTTCAAGAAACGGCTCAAGATGCATATTTTTCCGTAATAATAGCAGTTATTATTATATATATCTATAAAAACACCTTGCTATGTGCAGATGCATATTGTTGCTCTATTATTGATTTGATTGCTTTCATGGTTTTCCTTATTCGTAAGTCGCTTTGGATAAAACATTTCTAAATGATTCAATGTAAATGTATCTTCTGATTTAAAACAAACAGACACATTTATACCTATATAATATACCATATCTATATACTCCAGAGTATTTAAGACACTGCACTCATTCATGCCCGTCTGCTCATTGTAATCTCCAGCAAAAGAATGTCCTCATTCAACGTGTGACAGGGGTCATTGGCATGATATGACCTAGAGTACAGCAAATGTACAGTCAGTGTACTGTTCAGTTGTAGTGAACAAACAGCACTTCTAGAGTATCAAAAAAGGGGAAGGTAGCAGACTTCCTGTGTTAAGAGCAATTCAGACAGCAGGAGTAAACTCTCACCCCGAGTGAAGACGAGACCCCCCAGACTCTCTCCTTCTATCATTCATCACAGAAACTTCTAAAAAATAGCCAAATGCCATCCAAATAATCTTCAAATATATTAGATTCATTAATGCATGCTTCCCAACGATAAGAATGTTACATTTTCTTGACACAACAGTCTGTTTTTAAGAATATATATATATATATGTATATATATATATATATATATATATATATATATATATATGGAGGGAGTGCAAAAATTATTTTGTTCTTTTTAGAAATTAAAGTTTGTAAAATGCATACAAAAGCACAATCAAATGTTACAGAAAAAAGCACCTTTATCAATATCATGTTCTGTTATATGAAAAACCACAACCCTTACCTTAGTAATACCTGCTGTTATTCACATTACCATTCTCAGTATATCCTCTAAAACAAATTCCACGCAGTTATATTATCACATGTCCAAAAGAAAACACTGAGAAACTCTTTTTTTTCCTTTTCACAGTGAGATATTGAGAAAGCCGAGACAGCTCTTCTCCTTCCTCACTCGGTCACTGTGTGCTGACAGTGGGTGTACTGAATGCTGAGTAAAACCTAACCTTATTGGCCCCTCCTCTCTCTTTGTGCCTTCTCACTTTCATAAACACTATCTTTTCACTTCGGATTCAAGCTGCTATATACTGTTTTTGTGACAGGCTTTATTAGGGGAGGGGGGCATGTTTCAGTTAAAGCTATTCATGCCTGCCTGTTTGGACATCTTAAAGATGCGCGTCATTCTGAAAGTAAATCGGCAGTTTCCAAGACCTGCCCACACAGGTTGATAATAGCAACCGAGGTTGGTAAGACAAACATAAAAGCTGGAAACTATTTGATTCTGATGCCACTAAAGTGCCTACTATGACCCTAAAACAAGCATAATGACCTTTCAGTTTTCCTCCTACAGAAGGAGAAGCAGCTTGCATGAATCTGATTGCGCATGTCCTTTTTGTTTACTCATGCTGATGGATTGTTCCTATTTATTTAATCTATCTAAAGGCATAAAGCACAAAATTAAATAACAGGTAAGTTCTGTTTTTGCAACAGATGGAGCCTATTACCAAGTTAATAACAAAAGTTTTAGTAACAAAAGTTTCTCTCTTCACTTTAATGTTCTCAGAAAACAGTCACAGATCATTGCTATTATCTGTTTTTTCGGTGTTGGTGTGTGAGGACCTATTCATTTCCTTCCTCTCCTCAATGCCTCATCTATTTACTTTGAGAAACCTAAATGAGTCTGTTAGTTTCTGTTGTATTAGAGTCATTAATGGAACTATAATTTTCATTTCATATTTCATTTTTTTTTTTTAAAAAAGATACACTTTGCAATCTGGTATATCTTGAGAACATGGTGTGACAGTTAACCACTTTTCAATACCAAAACTAAACCACATGTGCATTGTGCACTAAAAGTCTTTTGACCACTTCCTGCTGCACACAAGAGTAAAAAAATAATCAAATTGCACTTGTACAGATAAAAATAATAGTTACAAGGTATTAATGGTTTAATTGCTTGATAATTATAAAATTTACAATTTGTTAAAAACAAGAACTCCATTTAAATGTTCTGATCACATGGTTCAGTTTATGAAATAAAAAACAACATATGTGTTTTTATCACATCACAAATACATTATATTCTAACGGAATAGTGCACATAGATTTATAATGGGAGGCAGTATTCAAAAACAAACTGCAGATTTTCAAGCCATTATGACCGTGAAGACTGAAAGTAGAGAAGTTTTCGGAGGAAGTTGAAAGATCCGGGCATTTGTTTATACAGGCCTTTGGCAGATATTTGGGAGACAGCATCATTTACCTAAAGAAAACAGATATTTTACATATATAATATTATAATCTAATTAATTATTTTTTTCCCAACTTTTTTTATTGAGTGAATTTTACATTTTTTTAACACCAGGTGACAAATATGGTTAACAATAAACATTACAAAGTGGGACCGAAAAAACACCTGTACCCGATACCCCCCACCCCCACCCACGAACTAACCCAACACAGGCCCATAAACGAGGACAGACACACAAAACCACACATACCAACAAACAATTACCGGTACAAACACATACACCAAAAAATAAATAAATAAATAAATAAATAAAAAATAATAATAGTAATACTTAGATAATAATCTAATTAATTATAACTATTATCACAATATAGTTATTTTAGCTGGATGGTCAAAAACATTTTTTTTTCGTAATCTCATTATTTGCTAAAATATTTTAAAGCTTTAAAAGTTAAAGCTGGATGCAGCATGGATACAGAACGCAAACCTAAGGTTAGAAAGAAGAAAAAAATCTGTCACCAGTGCAAATTGTCATTTTGAAGAGTATATAGTGCATAGTGTTAAACCCTTTTAAAATGCAACATGGCATCATGACTTTTGCGTAAACATACACGGCACTTTCAAGTCAAGTGGCGTGTTATCTACACGCATTTTGAGCTATCCGCGTGTAAGCGTGTATGTTTACGCCGTTAAATGTCCGAGTGTTTCCGCGTATATGTACACGCCGTTAAATTTCCGAGCGAAACGAAGCAAAATGTAGATCTATATCTGGGGAGCGATATTTTTTTCCTAGGATGGTAGGGGAAGACTCATAAATCGTATTAACCCCAGTGACGGGTAGGTTTAGGGACGGGGTTGGGGTAGGTGATATATTTATACAGTAATGTAACGTTAAGTCAACGGCGTTCATAAACACACTGAAAAGCGATTATGCGTCCACGCCCAAAATGGACATACGAATTGGCGTGTCATACATATGCCATTTCACGAGAACAGTGCTGCTCTACACTAATTGGTAGCATTATTATGGAGGTTTGTTTGTTATTTTACCCATTTTTGAGGACGTATTTATTGTATCTATCAGTGGCTGCCTCTATCACATGAATCTTAAAAGTTTTAAGAAGCAAAGACGTACCATCATCAGCATGGTCACCAGATCATCTGAAGCAGCATTCTCCTCAAGCACTAGATCAAGATTATCCACATACCAGGAGCCGGCTTCAGTGTCCCTCCAAGAGACATAGCCTTCAAATAAATTAGCATGTAGATCAGTCATTTGTATTTGGCAATCAAAAGGTTTGACTTCCTGAACTATTACTCAACCAAACTACGTGTTTAAGGCACAATATGACCAAAACACAGACCAGGAAATGTTGAGTAGGACACCAGGATGTCACTGGGTGTGGGCAAAGTGGCCCGAGCATCAGGTTCATCAGACGTGCTGAGAGAGTCGCTGCTGGAGGACATGGGAATGGCGTCCATCTCGTCATCTATCCCACCCAAAGAGGGTTCCACGTCATCTGGAGAAACCTCAAAACCTGTGTCCTTCTCACCTACAGGTGCACACAAATATGAAAAACTGGAGCCCACTAAGAAACATTACCTTCAAAAACCTTGGGTTGTGTTCAGGTGCGATCACATTAGCAACATTTTGATGAAATGTTATGGGGGAAAAGATGCAATGTCTATTGTTTATAGTGTAGCAATCTATGAAGCACCACGGCGCTTACACAGAAGTCACTTTCAAACTAGGCCACTTGATGTTGGTCAAGTCGGCGAAGTTCACGTGACCGACTCATTTCGAAATTCCCAATCGTGTGGTTTTCCATTGAAATGACTGGATTTTGAACAGCACAACGGTAAATGGCTACGAGACTTATGAAAGATTTCCGTGATTCCCACCTCCTCCACAGGCCTGAATGAAGAACAGCTTGGGCTTGCCCTGCAGGGAAGGACAGTTCTGGCCATTGAGGTAGTTTGTGATAAACTGAACTGGGAGAGCTGGTCCATCAACACCATGAACTGCTCCAGGGAAACGATTATGGTTTGCCTAAACATTAGAGAAATATCAAGCACCAGAGTAGAATGAGAAAATAAAACTCATGCATGAGGGTGTTCTACAAAATGAGGAAGCATAAAACATTGCTTATTCAAACAAAAGTGAGGTTGTACTTCTATGTTGAGAAACTAGTAGTCTAACTGTAAAAGCAAAATTAGCATAATCCTCTTTTAAAATAATACAAAAAATACATGTATATATACACAACACATATACATATATATATATAAATATATATATATAAACTGCATATACGACTTGTTTTACCTCAGTTCCATGTGAAAGGATGATTACAACACAGCAGTCATATGCAGAATGATCCCTCTTTGCTAAAGATGACATCTCATGTTTTATATGCTAAAGAGCAGAGCAAAAGTTTTTCAAAAATGTATAAAGGACACGTTGTCATTTGTCTTACGGCTATGTTTACAGTAAGAAGAAGAGGAAATAATGAGCTTACTTTGTATTTCAAGTTCTTTTTTACAATAACCTCAAAGTTGAGGGCTTTAAATCTTTTCTCCATCTTGTCACAGTCAATGTTGGACCCCTTTCGATCTTTTAGTTCAGAGGCTGGTTCAAAATCGACATTGTTTATAATCAGGCACATCCCACACGGACTGGCATCCATCTTGTAAGACTGTAAAAAAAAAATAGAGTTTGGGTGCAATGGCGCAGTTTGTGCATACAAACACTTCAGTCTCAACTCAAGTACTTGATTAAGCTTGTGTATGGAACTATTTCCATGTTATTCCACAAGGATGTTCCCCGTGTTCCCTTCCAGTTGCTTAGGATGAAAAATCGTTTGCACACAAAACTGAAAACACTAAAAACTTGAATAATTCATCAATAATCATTTTTTAAAATTTAAGATGAATATTTAGAACCAATTCCAATAAATGCTGCATGATAATCAGACACATTAAGTAAGTCTTATTTCAGAGTAACAAAAATGGTTTTGGGTCTGTAAGAACACTTGTACTCAATTATTAGAGAGCAACGCCAATGAGTGAACACGATTACCTGTATACTGTCACGTCTTGGCCTGGTTGGTCTCACACCAGATGCTGTGGACATGCATATATCCAAAGTTAAAACAGTCATGAAGCTGAAGTCGCAATAGTGAAACTTTTCCATTCATTTTTTCCCATAGGGATTTACAAAATTCTGTTAACATGCGTTATCAAAGGCTTTTTAAATCCCTATGATCCCCTATGATATAAAGCCATGGACCACGCCAACCAGCTACAAGGAGAATCAAGACTGTTTTTAACAATTTTACATAGAAAAAGAACTACAGCATAATCAAATTAAAAACAATGGGGAAACTACTCATTTAAAAATGTTTAGAATATATATAAACAATACATTTTAAGTTTATTGCTATACGTATATATATATATATATATATATATATATATATATATCTTCAACGGAAGCAAATGACATTGATTAACAACCTTGCAGCTCACAATAGGGCTGTGTTTAAATGTTTACGAGTAATGATTAAAAATCAATTTCCCAAAGGATTAAATTATTGGATTTTTTACAGCTAAAACTGTTGCACACAATTGCTATGATCTCATGTAAGTGATAAGTTGCCCTGCCCTCATGAATCATAAAAAAAAAGATGTGCACTGATAAATAATTTATATAAAAACAAAGCAATATTCCATTAAAAATAAGACTTGTCAATGCTGATTAAATGGTGATGATTTCAGTAGTATTAAACAAATGAAAATGAACTTTTATTGAGAATTTAAAGTACAATGTAGGAAGCTGTTTTACATGACAGTGACTTACGTGGGCTAATGGGCTTGGGCAGAGGCAGGCTTTCTGGTCTCGGTGGTAGGTCTACTAGAGGGCTGAGATCAGGTATGTCTGGCTTCTCAGTACATTTTGGATTCTCTGCATTGAATCATAAGATCAAACAAGATATCTCTATATAACTTGTGCTTTCTTTTAATATAATAAGAAAAATCATGGCAGTTACATCTCAAGAGGATCATGGTTAGGGTAGGGTGTTTTATGTTCCACTGTATTATGGAAGTAACACTTACGGACTGGTAGAGGGATCAGTGAAGGCTGTATTGGGACGCGATGAGGACGATCAGCACCATCTCCACTTTGAAGGAGCTCGGCGAGATCATGATGGCCAGTCTCACGCAGACACTCCAGGAAGGCTGGGAAAGCCTGACTCCCTCTCGTTTCCAAGTCTGTCACCACTTGCCTGGCTTGGTCTCGTCTGGTTGCTTTGCTCTGTTAGGAGAAAATTAATATTTCACATTCGCAGATTGGCATTAACAGAACTACTCGCACATGAATGGGCAGTCACTGTGGTCATATCATCTTACCTTCAAAACTGGAAACTAAACAATGCACATTATTAACAAGTGAACATCCCTTCTGAAGCA